ACTTACAAGCCCCCCATGTGATAGCAGATTAGTGGTGACAGGTACTCTTTTAGTTGACTTACAAGCCCCCCTCCCCATGTGAAAGCAATTAAGGTAAAGTTTGAAAAAAAATGTTTTTAAAATGAATATTAAATGACATAACCAAGGGCAAAAAAAGTAGCCACCCTCCAGAAGCTAGGACAGTGTCAGCACCAATTCAGAGATGATTTGAGGATCTACAGCTGAGTGATACACAAATAAGATCCGTTTTTGTTAATAGTTGGGGCACTTGAATGGATTTTTAGGAATAAACACCGGCGTTTAGTGTCACTGTAAAATGCATTGAAGCACAGCTTAGTGCAGTATAACACTTCTGTCTGTTATTTCATAGAACTCTATACAACAGACCAAAAAGAGGGACAACTGAAGCAGAAAAAAGGACAGAGGTATTTGCCTCCAAAGGAGCAACAGTTGGGAGCTGCGATTGCACAAGTAAGCATAACACATGCAAACGATGGAACTACATGCACAGTTACACTTCCATATGTTATCTAAGCCTGACCTAAACGTTATAATGTCTTGTTTGCTAACATGAGCTCAGTACCCAGCCGCTTCCACCGCCCCTAATGCACACAACCCACGTGTCACTCGTCTGCGATCTCCACGACGCTTCCGGGAATCGATTGCTCCAGGCTGGCAGGAGGTGGAGCGGATGGCCGAGCGGGCTGATCAGAGCTAGCTGACAGTGTAGAGGGCCTGTTGCTGTAAGCCGGGTGTACAGGAGTGGAGGATGCTGGACTTCGCTATATTCGCCATCACCTTTCTGCTGATCTTGGTGGGAGCAGTCCTGTACCTGTACCCGGTAAGAGGAGATGATATGTGCTGGGAGGGGTGCTGATGTGGCAGCTCTGTTACTGCACAACTGAGACTTCAAGCTGGACTGACTACAATGAGTCGTGTACACAAATGCCATCATTGTTTTCACACATTGCAATAGACAAATGTGTGAATCTTGGGTGAAAGTTGTGAATCTTTTGTGAAAACATTTCTGAATAGACCCTTATGTTGTAAGTAGGCAACTGAGCGTGATATGTGCAAATCACATTATTTATACATATTCACAGTGTTCTTACAGGGAGAGAAGGAAATGTCCTGCTTCTGTGCGTTTTCCCCCAAACATCTGTGTTTTCTGCAGACATCTGTGCGTTCTCTCGCAGGCTTCCTGTAAGTTTTCCTGCAGACTTCCTGTGCGTTTCCCTGCAGGCTCCTTATGTGTTCCCACTGGGCTTCCTGTGCGTTTTCCCGCAGGCTTCCTGTGCGTTTTCCCGCAGGCTTCCTGTGCGTTTTCCCGCAGGCTTCCTGTGCGTTTTCCCGCAGGCTCCTTATGTGTTTCCACAGGGCTTCCTGTGCGTTACCCGCGGGCTTCCTGTGCGTTTCCCCGCAGGCACCCTATGCGTTTCCCCGCAGGCACCCTATGCGTTGCCCCGCAGGCACCCTATGCGTTGCCCCGCAGGCACCCTATGCGTTGCCCCGCAGGCACCCTATGCGTTGCCCCGCAGGCACCCTATGCGTTGCCCCGCAGGCACCCTATGCGTTTCCCCGC